AAGGACTCCAAAGCTGGAAAGCAGGAGGGGACAAAGGTGGTAATTAAGGCTGGGTCCTGGGGCCCTGCAGTGCGCTCTAGGCCGTGCATGAGCCGGGACTGTGCCCGCAGCCTGCTGGGGGCTGCTCTTCTCCGGCCAGGGAAAACGGGGCAGCCGGGACCTGCGGCTGTGCTGGACTGAAGCCATCCCTCGTGTCTCCACCCTCCAGCATGTGCTCACCTGTCCCCCTCTTCATAGCAGTCTCAGGACTAAACAGAATGACTCAAGGAGAGCACTTCCTGCAGAAAGTCTGGAAGTGCCTAGAATGAGAAGCACGTAAGCCCCTCCCTGGGATGACTCTCCTTCAGTGATGGACCATTCTTGGTGCAGACTCCTGATAGCAGGCGCCGAACCTTAGACAAGCGCGCATGTGTCACGTCGCCCCGGGGTGCCCAGGAGGCAGTCAACGGGTTCAGCCGACAGGACTGCGAGGCGACCTGTGAAACCGACCCAGGCATCCCAACAGGAACCAGGAACAAAATGTGGTCCTGTGGCCGTGTCCACGGAAATCTTCACTTTCCCCTTCCTCATTTCTGCATTGCTGGAAGTGTTACAACCAGCATGTGCTTTTATAATGCAACCTCAGGTAAGAATGGAAGAGCTAAAAAAGTAAATAAATAAATAAAAGTGACCTTTCTGATCTAATTATTTTAAAATGTTTGTTACTTTTTAAATCTATCTCAAAGGAGGATAGACTGATAAGAAATTTGGAGGAAATTTTCTCATTGTAGAAGATATAAATATATAATATAATTTAAATCAAACCTCTATAAAATTATTGTGATTTTTTTCTACCACATTGTACATGTTATCAATGATTTTGATTTTGAAGTGATTTGCTTATATAGAAGAATTATCAGACTGAGTTATTGTCAAATAGAAATTGAAATAATTGTTGATGAAAAGGTTAAAATGGTTTAATACTGTTTGATCTGATCTATCTATCTATCTATCTTTTTGTCTGTCTGTATATTAACTGACCTACCTGTCTATCTAGATTCTAAGTGTTCAGAAAGAGCAGAAGATCAGTTTCTTGCAAAAGTGGACCTGAATGACGAATTAGAAATTACTGTGGATGGATTTAGTGTCATAAAAATAAGTTGTTTAGAATGAAAGGAAAGATGTGTTAGGAAAGCTTTCTTCATAGTGTATGCTGCAATAAAAAGCATGGCTCTGTTTGAATGGTATTTAACATCTGTATTATAAATCCCTGTTGAGTAAATACTGGAAATGGCCACAAGGAATGACCTGAGGCAATTTATATGTCAGGGAGTGATTAACATATAATCTCAAATAAATATGGGCTATAAATTTGCAATTATTTTTCAATTTTGAGTCAGCCATGAGGACACTGAGTCCTCTATTGCTTTTCTGCATCTATGTATTGGCCAAGTATCTCCCTATTTGATAGCACCTCTTATTCAGTTGAGGAACGCACAACAGGCAACATTTTTGTTTCCAAAGAGTCAAAATCGATCTGTTTTCTGTTTATCTCTTAGATCCACATCATCCAAGAGAACTGTCTGTGGTAATGGAAATGTTTCACAACTAGCTGATTCAACAAAGGTAGCCATTAGTCACACATGGCTATTGAGCACTTGAAATGTGGCTAGTTGGACTGAGATACTGAATTTTAAAATTTTATTCAATTTTAATTAATTTAAAGTTAAATAGCCACATATGACTAGTGCTATAGTACAGCACAGCCTCTGATTCACGTTCTCCCAACTCTTTCATCTACTAAGGGAATTTTTCTGAGTGGTTTAACATTATTTTTGCTAGACTTTTAAACCTTAGGCCAAAATGAAAATCTGCCTGTAATTCAAACTACTGAACAATTACTTTTATTTAGAGTCTCACCACTGTCAGCCACTGCTATTTATGTCAATTAATAGATAAATTACTATTCAGGACCTCTTGCCTCTCATGGTGGTCATGGTAATACTCTTCAAAGTCCCAGTTGTTCAAAACAAACATTATTTTTTGAGTAAGAGGTTTTATCGTCCAAATAATTACTTTTCATTAATTATGAAAGTCTAGGATTTGGCTCTGTCATTTTTCCATAAATTCAATAAACAAAAGATTCAAAAACTACTTGTTCGATAAGTAGATTTAACCACTCTATTTTAAAAACTTGTTTTATTTTTGTATACTAGTTCAGATTTGTAGGCCATCATCTATATGTGCCTGATAACCATCCTAGAGGCTACTGAGCTTTCTCTCAAATTCAAATTTTATTACAGAAAGCTGCAAAAGAAAAAAATACTAACAAAGTCCAGATTATTTAAGATGTTTTATGCAAGTAAAATATGACATTTTAATCTAAATCAATATACTCATGTTTAGACGATTTTTTCCTTGTTCTCAAAGCTTAGGGTTATTTTCTTACAGGCAGTTCAAAACAATTGTTGTAGAGGAGTCTGCCTGCAACAAAACAGAAATCTCATTCATCTAATGATAAATTATGGATCTCAGTTCTATAACTGGTTATAGTCGGATAGAGTTTAAAGTCAGCCCCATTACACTGTGAAAGAAGAAATGGGAACTGCTGAAGAAAATGAACTTTGAAGTGCTCTCAGCCTATCCTATTACTCCTGAAACCTGTCTTTATAATATGTTGCTATCCCTTGGATGTGTTAGAAGGTGGCCTTTAAATCAAATGAAGCAGAGAAATAGAAAGCAGAGCTCCAAGGGGCTGGTTTTGACACACGCTCCCTAGCTAGGCAGGTCATCTACCTCTGCATTATAAAATCATCTGAGGATTACTAACAGCTCCAAGTTTCCATGTATTATCACTAGCCTATGGGCACTGGATCCCATTCAGCATTTGCCTATGTGACTGTTTCACCCGCCAACTTTTTGATATTGTACCATTTTTTTTTCATTTATAAAAAATGAGATAATTTAGTAAAATATGCTAGGCCCACTTTAAAAAATCTACATATGTTCATGTACTTATATGTCAATGTTTATAGTGATGGAAAATCTCCAGAAAACAGGCTGAAGTTCTATAAACACCAAAATGTTTTCCTTAAATGAGTCAATTTTGGGGAATTCTCTGTCACATGGTTCTTGCACATAATTGCCTCACCTTGGGACTGCTGCATTCACATCTGGCCTGAGTCCCCATGAAGTCGGGTTGGTTTTTGTTGCAACTTGATGGCAGTTTGCCTGTGTGCTGAATCTGAAAATGTAGTTGGCTAATATTCTGAGGAAAGGGTTGGATCATAACCATATCTCTCTCCCCGCTTCTGTGATGTTCTGGAAGAGCTACTTATCTCTCTCTGTTTCTTTCCCTTTCTCCCTCCCTCATTCCCACATCCCTGGTTCCCAGTTGTGTGCAAGTTGCAATGAAGGGAATATGAGGAAGAAACACCTGCTACCCACTGATTTAACTTCTTCTAGTGTGTGTGTGTGTGTGTGTGTGTGTGTGTGTGTGTGTGTGTGTGTG